CATTTTTGCATACAGTATTTCCTATTTATAATCCTTCATATTTCAAGAATATATTTTTTCATAGGAGATTACTTTTTTCTACCCATAATTCACTACAATAAAATAATAAAAATTTGTATAAAGTCTCAAAAACTATAGTATTTTTTGAGAGACAACAAATGGAGAGCCAAACGGATTTCATGTAACGACCTGGAACTTGAAAGGGAGATAAAAATATGAATTAAATGCGAAAGCGAAATAATAGAGTTATGGTTTACATTCCTTACACAATAATTTAGAATACTCAATAAGGCTACGGGAATGACTTTTTTAAAAGAATAAGCGAAAAATCAAGAAATAAATGAAAAGTAAACAATTAGATATCCTAGGACGATCTTCACTAGCCCTTGAAGGGAGTCTAGGTGGTGAACTACTCACAATCTCCTTGTTGATCGGGATTTGGATTTTGGTTCTCTTGATCTAAAATGGTTAATGAAAGGGTGAGCTACACAAGCCCTGTAAGAATATCACACTATTCACCGATACAGAAATAAAGGTTGGTAAAAATTATAAAAATAACTAATGGAGCTCTTAATTTAAGTAAATTTATTTATCATAAATAAAATCATTTATTACATACTTATTGTAGCGAGATTTTCAAACTGACCTATAAAGACAATAACACAAATAACATCATAATCTTATTTTTAATTAGCCAGAACAACAACTTTCTCTTTTTATTTGCTTACTGGTATCCCTGGGGGTCCATAGGGATGTCCCACTACGTGTGAACCCATAACAAAACTTGTCAACTAACCGACCGTCTTCGTACCCCATCCGGTATGAGTACCAAAAGTACCATCCCTCAATACCCCGTCAAGTATGAGGGTGAATCAGGCCGTTCCCATACCCTGTCCGGTATGAGCGCCAAAAATATCATTACTCAATACCCCATCCGGTATTTGGTAACGTTCACGGTAGGGTCCCCTATGTGTCCGGTCCGTCCACCATCTCCCAAAATATCCAGTAAGACAATCGTTTCATTCATTCACTTGACAAAGTAAATTTCTTATTTACATTTAATTTTCAGTTTCACAATTTAACTGTAAATCATGCAAGACAAGGTATACATGCATCAAAGAAACACAACCGAATCATCTTATCA